GCATGACCGGAGGGGGTGGGGGGTGGGGCATGGAAGGAGGGGGCATCATGAAAGGGAAAGTGCCCTGTCCAGGAGGTGCTCCAGGGACTGGGGGGTTATTAGGACAGGGCATTGGAGGTGGCATAGGAGGAAAACAAGGAGGCACTGGGAAGGGGGGCCTCATCTGGTGATTTGGGAAGGGGGGGCGTATAGGGCAGGGGGGAAGAGGGCCCTGGGCTGACGGAGGCATGGGAGGAGGGAAGGGGACAAAGTCTGGTCGTGGAGGCAGAAAATTGGGGGCTGGAGAGTTCGAGAACGTGGTGGAAGGGGCACTTGGAGGTTCATATTGATATTGCACAGGAGGCTGCTGAGGATGAAGTAGTCTCAGATTTTGAGGCCTGAAGGCTGGGGCTGAGGGTCTGGCTCCATGTCCTCCTCGCCCTCGGGGACACCCTCGTCCTGGATGGAACGACATTCTATGACTTTGTGGGAGGAAAGAAAAAGAAAAGAAAACCAAAAACTCACCATAAACAGGGTGTCACAAATGCCTGACCATCTTCAAGAGCAACTGACACCTTCAGCCACTGGATTATTCTACCTACCTGACACTGAGCTCTCTATAATACCTCAAACTCCCATGGCCAATAAAGTCCTATTCCCCTGTCTCAGTCCCTGGCTTCTGTCATTCCCTAAAGCTGCTCCTCCTCCAGAATGATGAACTCAACATCCGACTATTTAATCATATGCTGTTATGTCCTTGCTCAGGCTCCCCAAAAATCTGAACCTCGCCATGTCATCCCACCTGTACACCACTCTCTACATCTGCACCAGCACCTTCCTGTCTTCACCTTCCTCCACACTCAGCAGAGACTCCACAAATTCAACATACCTGGTCCTAAAAGGAATTAACGACCCTCCCCTCCAAAACAATACCAATGGCTGCTCTTTTACGGTTTCTATTTTTTTTTTTTTTAAGATTTTATTTATTTATTCATGAGACAGAGAGGGAGGCAGAGACACAGGCAGAGGGAGAAGCAGGCTCCATGCTGGGAGCCCGATGTGGGACCCAATCCCAGGACCCCAGGATCATGCCCTGAGCCAAAGGCAGACGCTCAACTGCTGAGCCACCCAGGCATCCCCAGTGTTTCCTATTTCAATAGATAACAGCATTTATTGGTCCTCAAGTCATACTTCAGCCAATTATCTGACAACGTTTCCTCCCTTACCCCTTTTACCCAAAAATGTATTTTAAATTCCCATCACTTCTGCTTCATAAATACTTCCTAAGTTCACCCACTTCACACCATCATTTCTTCCCTGGCTATAATAACAACCCCACTGGTCTTTCTATAATCACTAGCACTACCCATCAGGCCTTTGTTAGGTTCCCTGCTCTCACATTCTGTGCTGCTTCCTGGCAGGTCCTACAGTAATTACAATTCACCAACTAATTACCTCATTCCACCATTCATGTTTGCCTGCACCTCAGAACTATAAGCTCCATCAGGGCAGCACTCTGGTCTGTGCTCCTAGCCATGTCCATGGCCCACATAAACACACCTCCTCCTCTGCCCACGTTACCAAAATCGGGGTTTGCTCTTCTATCTGCTCTCCCAAAACCTCCACCATTACCGTCACACCACTCACCACGTATTGCCTTGCATCATGACACGGTGTCTGGATATGTCACATCTTCCACAGAGAATATAAGCGCTAGAGGACAGAAAGAATAAAACAGGCATAAAAATGTTTCCCAAACTGCTAATGTCTGCAATTCTCTTAACAATGATTTTGCATTCTCCAATACATTGAACATACTGACAAAATTAAGAGTATATTCCCCCGAATTAAAGTTTACAACTAACTTTTAAGATGACCTTATCACACAGTGAGACTAACAAGCAAATTCAAATATAACTATAATTTTTAAACACAACAGTTATCCTTGATTTCATCCTCAGCTTTCCACTGAAGAATGCTGTGAACATGAATGGCTTTCCAAATGCTTAAGTTTCAACAAGATAGTTTTAAAACTTAAATAAATACTAAGTGCAAAAAACTTGACTATAGTGTTATCTTCCTAAGGTCTATCTAACTAAAAGTTTTACCGATAGGCTTAAGGTAGATTTTCAAAAGGCTCAAGAAAATAATGTCAGATTTTTTAGCTCTATCAATCACTGTGCTTAATAACTAGCAGGCATATAATAACATCTAATTGGTGATTATTATTCAGCCTAAGGCCTTCATGATAAACCTAGGACCTACACAGTTGATCTCGCCACCATGGACTACTCATGGCTCCTGGCCAACAGAATCTAATTCAAACTCCCATGTCTGGCATTTAAAACCCATTACCACGGGGATCTCTGGGTGGCTCAGCAGTTTAGCGCCTGCCTTCGGCCCAGGGTGTGATTCTGGAGTCCCAGGATCGAGTCCCACGTCAGGCTCCCTGCATGGAGCCTGCTTCTCCCTCTGCCTGTGTCTCTGCCTCTCTCTCTCTCTCTCTCACTTTGTGTCTCTCATGAATAAAAAAGCAAAATCTTTAATTAATTAATTAATTAATTAATAAAACCCTCTACAGGGCAGCACTGGTGGCTTAGCGGTTTAATGCTGCCTTCAACCCAGGGTGTGATCCTGGGGACCTAGAATCGGGTCCTGCATCGGGCTACCTGCAGGGAGCCTGCTACTTACTCCCTCTGCCTGTGTCTCTGCTTCTGTGTGTCTCTCATGAATAAATAAAATAAACAAAATCTTAAAATAAAATAAAACCCTCTACAACCCGGACCCAATTTCTTCCAGAATTATCCTCTATCACCTTCCCCGTGAAGTGCCTATCACCCAGATTTTCCCAGGTGCCTAACATACAAAGTACTATTACCCAGCTTGTTCTTTGCTCCTGATCTTCTAAAATCCCCTGCTCGGGGATCCCTGGGTGGCGCAGCAGTTTAGCACCTGCCTTTGGCCCAGGGTGCGATCCTGGAGACCCGGGATCGAATCCCACGTCGGGCTCCCGGTGCATGGAGCCTGCTTCTCCCTCTGTCTATGTCTCTGCCCCTCTCTCTCTCTCTCTCTCTCTCTCTGTGACTATCATAAATAAAAAAATAAAATAAAATAAAAAATAAAATCCCGTTCTGTGAATGTGCCCACTGAATTTCATCCACCTATGTCAAATGCCACCTCTTCTGTGAAGCCTTTCCTAGGTCCCTTTAGAATGTAACCCCATTCCCTCTAGACTTACTTACTTACTTCTTTTACAGCACTTACCAGAGACTGTCTCATATTATAGTCATGTGTGCACATTTCTAACTCCTCCACTAGACTTTTAGCTCCTCGAGGACATGGGTTGATTCACAGTCATTTCTGTATCCTTCACAGCCCCTGGCACAACGTCCTGCACATAGTAGGTGGTCAATAAATGTTTACCACATCACCAACGACAAATGTTTCTATGTTGCTACCGTCCGTTTCCCTTTCACATATACCCACGACATATCTGCATTATCAAATCCAGAAAAGAGGAGGCCCTTTCACAGATTCAGGTGATACCCAATGAGCCCAGATTTGTCACGCTGACCATGTGGACTCCAAGTTGAGTAAGATGCACAGCCTGCAAGACTCAAGCTCTGAAACCACTTACAGGCATGTTTTTAGGAAAATAAATGAATAAGGCAATAAACAAGAGAAAAGGGACGCCTTGGTGGCTCCGTGATTGAGCACCTGCCTTTGGCCCAGGGCGTGATCCTGGAGACCCGGGATCGAGTCCCACATCGGGCTCCCTGCATGGAGCCTGCTGCTTCCTCTGCCTGTGTGTCTGCCTCTCTCTCTCTCTCTCTCTCTGTCTCTCATAAGTAAATAAATAAAATCTTTAAAAAAATAAAATAAAATAAACAAGAGAAAAGAGGTACGCACAGGGTCTAAGGGAACACAAAGGAGTGTGCCAAACCTAGAGATGCAAACAGGGTCACTAACACTTGCACGGTGCGCGATAGCTGACCTTCCGCGACTAGGTCATGCATGTTCCTATTGAGAGAATACCTGAAGACACGGATTACGAAGCTGACATTCTGAGGGCACAGTCCGGCTCTGCTGGGGCACAAACTGATCCAAAATCGAGAGTCAAGGAATTCGCTGCAAGCGGCCGAGGGTAGTTGGTTTCCGCGTCTGTCTACCCCCAGGAAGCAGGGACGCTGCGGGGGCTGTTTGGCCAAGGTAACACGTCCGCATCGAGCATCGGTCCACGCCGCAAGGGCCGCGAAGTGTGCCTCCTTTCCGCGCACTTGCACTCCGCCCGGCTGCGGGGCGGCTGCGCCTTTCCCCGTTTGCATCTCCCGCCAGGCCGCGCGCCCCACGAGGCCAGCGCTGGGCTCCGGGTTTCCCTCCGCGGCGACCCCGGGCGGCCCCAGGCCGGGACCCGCGCATGCGCTCCACAAATGAATGAAAAGGTCTCCTTCTCCGCTTCCACGCGCTCGCGGGGCCCCGGCCTACGGTCGCTCTTTTGCCGGTCGGCTGCAGACCCGAGGAGGGGGCCGCCCGCTCGACCTGAACCCGCCCCAGCCCCGGACGCCGAAGCCCGACACTCGGCGGCGCTCGGTCTCCCACACCCGCAAGGCGCCCCCCCCCTCCACACACACACACACACACACACACACACACACACACCCCTCCCTTTTACCTTATAAGACGCTCTCGGGCCGCGAGGGAGCCGTCAAAGCAAAGCCAGGCTGATCGTGCAGCCGCCGAGACCCTAGCGCCACCCGCGCCTCCGGAACAGGAAACCGACGAAATTAAAAAGCGAACCTGAGGGAGCCGGACCGCGACCGCGACCGCGGGGTGGTGCGGGGGGCGGTGGGGGGAAGCTTTTGGGCTTCGCACAGCGCCCGGTGCGCGGTGATTGGCGCGTCATCGAGAGCGATGGACATGTAAGCCAATCGTCTTCGTGGAGCGCGCCGGCGCCCGCCCCCTGCCCTCTACAGCTTCCAATCAGGAACCGCAACCGGGTGAGCGCGCGTTTCCACCCGGGAGGGGCAGCGCGGGCGGCCCGGGTCCTAGTCTCGCGACTGCGGCGCCGGGGATGCTGCCGAGCGGGAAGGCGGCGGGCGACGCGGCGGCGGGGCGCGCGGGCCTGCGGCGCTACCCCGCGCTCCCGGTGTGGGTGGTGGAGGATCACCAGGAGGTGAGCGGGCGGCCGCGGGGGGCCGGAGGGAACCGGACTGCGTGGCCCGCGGCGGCTCCATGGCTGCGGGGGAGGCGCCGGAACGACCAGCCGGAGGAGGAGGCGCGGACGGCTGGGGTCCCTGGCTGGGCGGCGGGCGGCTCGTTCACCCCTCGCCGTTCGCCCCGACCCGAAGCCGAGCCTCCCGGCGGCCCCGGCGTCTGGGTGGGAGGCCCCGTGTCCGCCGCGGCGTGGGCCGGGGTCACGGGGTCACGGCACTGACCATGCGCCCCGCGGGCCCCGCCACACGCAGGCAAATCGAACTCCAGTAAAAAAAAAAAGAAAAAAAAAAAAAAAGAATGATGCCGGCTGCCGTCCGTGATAGAGACTTGGCGTCGTGGCACCCTTAGGGCCGTTGGTAGTGTTGTCTGCTCGGTGTGTACACAAGTCTTCGTACCCGAGCCCTGCTCTTATTTGTTTTGTTTTTAAGATTTTATTTATTTATTCATTCATTCATTCATTCATCGATACAGAGAGAGGCGGAGGCACAGGCAGAGGGAGAAGCAGACTCCACGCAGGGAGCCCGACGTGGGACTCGATCCAGGGGCTCCAGGATCCCGCCCTGGGATTAAAGTGGGACTAAACCGCTGAGCCACCCGGGGATCCCCCGAGCCCTGCTCTTATAAACACAAACACTATCTTCTGTTTTTATGGCAGTGCCACTTTGGGGTAGCTAAAATGATGACTTCATCCCATCTTCTGGAAGCCTTATAAGGGAGGCCCATAGAGTCAAGACTTTTTTTTGTTTGTTTTTGTTTTTTGTTTATTGTTTTAACCACCAGCCCCCTTGGGGGTTCTCTAGATATGAAAGAGGGACACGATGATCGTGGATTTATGGCTGGAAGAAGTTGGGTTTCCCAGGACGTAGAAAGAGTAGTGAGGATGGGCCTGAGAAAAAGCACAGGCACGGGTTAAGCGGTGCTTTCAAATTCAGTATTAAACGCAGCACTACCCCGGCAGCCCCGGTGGCTCAGCGCTGCTTTCAGCCCAGGGCGTGATCCTGGAGACCCGGGATCGCGTCCCACATCGGGCTCCCTGCATGGAGCCTGCTTTTCCCTCTGCCTGTGTCTCTGCCTCGTGTGTGTGTGTGTGTTTCTCATGGATAAATAAGATCTTAAAAAAGAAAAACGCAGCACTAGGTGACTTGGAGACCACCTAGGCTCATCCATCATCCAGAGGTGTGGCAAAGGCCGGAGACCCATGGTACCTTGAACACCTCTTTGTGCCAGAATGTTTATTAACTGCCAGTTTGTTTGTACGTTTTCCTGAGGGCCAATCCTTGTGTGTTTACCCACATTGAGTTTGTGGCGGGGCCAGATGGAAGCAGGAGATGCCCGGTAAAGCCTGTGGAGGTGCAAGCTGGAACTTGGGAGGAAAACATAAAGCTAACCGGAGACCGCTCTCTATAAGCCCATCTACAGTGAACAAGTTTTATATTTCCCTACTTTTTAGCAACTTGATGTGCTTTACATTATATGCAGTTACGTTAAGCCTTGTTTTTCAGGCTGCAGCAGAGTGTGTGCTCTTGATTTCAGTGCCATTTCTGAATATATATGCATGTGTTTTCACAGGTCCTGCCTTATATATACCGGGCCATTGGCTCGAAGCATCTTCCTGCCGGTAACATAAGTTTTGTGCATTTTGATTCACATCCAGACCTCCTTATTCCTGTGAATATGCCAGCTGACACTGTGTTTGACAAGGATACACTTTTCGGGTAATATGTGGTTTTTGTTCTTTTTTTTTTTTTTTTTTTTGTAAACTCTGCCTCCAGTGTGGGGCTCAGATTCAGGACCAGGAGGTCAAGTCACATGCTCCACCAGCTGAGCCAGCCAGGCACTTAGTGATCTTTTATATGCTTGATATATAATTTGCAGTACATGATTAACAATTAAGGGAAATAGACTTTCTGAGGTCATGATTTTTGTTTTCGTTTTCCCTTTTTATTTTATTTGGAGCAAATGTTGACTTTCTAAAGAGCCAGATAGTAAATATTTTAGGTTTGCTTGCAATATAGTCTCTGTTGCAACTACCTTCTCTCTCCTCTTATACCTCTCTCTCCTCTTTTCTGTATAGGAAAGCAACCATGGACACTAACGTAACAGATGTCTGCAGCTATATTACAATAAAACTTTATTTACAAAAACAGATGGCCTAGCCAATGTTTGCCAACCTCTGCTTTAGAATTTTAGAAGTAGAAGAGACTTTAGAAGTTTACCTGAGCCAGTTCTCCCTTCCTCTCTCTTTTAAAAAATCTGGATACAAAGGCACAAGAAAATGTGTTAAACATGTTGTTCAGGGCAGCCCGGATGGCTCAGCGCTTTAGCGCCACTTTCAACGCAGGGCATGATCCTGGAGACCCAGGGTCAAGTTCCACGTCAGGCTACTGCATGGAGCCTGCTTCTCCCTCTGCCCGTGTCTCTGCTTCTCTGTGTGTGTGTGTGTGTGTGTCTCATGAATAAATAAATTTTAAAAGTCTTTAAAAAAATAAATAAACATGTTGTTCAGTAATTGTATAGGCAACACATCTTTAATTTGTATATCCTTCCTTCCACTATTGAGTCCTTCCAACCTCTCAGTTTGTGCTACTTTTCCCCTAGAAGGGTCATAGGTAATATATTTCTAAGTGACTTACTCCCCTCTCTTCTGTAATAAAGTTCTCTGAATTCTGCAACTGTCTCATTATGTATGCATTTCTTAATGTAGCCTGCTCATACAGTGTAAAAAGTTACATAGCAGTTATTTTTCTTTATAATATGAAACTACAAGATAGATGCTTGGGTGAATTAACTCTAGCCTACTACATTTCTTTCAGTTGACTTTCTGGAACCCCTTTTTGGAGCACTGATTTCTAAAGTGTGGTAGCTCTACCATTGTTGTTAACTGTCTTTTATATTTAAAGGTTTATATATTGTAGAAATTTTTTTTTATAAATTAATTTTATATATTGTAGAAATTGAAGAGAATTATGAAACAAGTATGTACAGTTAGTCATAGAATAATAATTCTTAAACTTTCTAGTCTCGGGATGCCTGTATACTCTTAAAAATTACTAAGCTTTTTTTCTAAGTTTGGGTAGTATCTATTCACATTTACCATATTTGAAATTAAAAACTGAGAAATGTTTAAAATATTAATTCATTTCAAAATAGACTTCAACATATTACCATAAATACGATTATTTTTATTAAAAAAGGTATTTTCTAAAGCAAAAAACTTAGAAGAGTAAGAATGTGTAAGTTTTTGCATATCTCTTTAATATTTGTCTTCATAGGAAACAGCTAGATTCTCATATCTGCTTCCACATTCAGTCAGTTGCCATATGTTGTTTTGGTGGAAGTAAAATGAAGAAAATTTAGGAAGAGTATTTTTATAGCCTTTTCAGATAATTATGAATATTCAATACTATACCAAAACTTGACAGTGGTGTTTTTTTTAAAGCTTAGTTCAAATGTAGAATCCAACAATTCAAATTCAAGTCTGAATAACCATTGTATGTTGATCAGTCTTGCTTTCAAGAAAAATGGTGTTCAACTCTCAATTGAATTGCAAGTGCTTTTCATTAAGACAACCGTTATACTTCGAAGAATGTAGCAGAAGTACTTTCTGCGCATTTCTCATTTTACCACCCAGAATATTTAAAATGTATATTCAAGTTCAAAGTTTAATAAAATTATGAAGGAACTTTTTACATAAAACTGGCTTTAGAGGGGGACTACTAGTAGACTTGGTACTGTTGCCTTCATCAGTCTTAGGATGCCAACCCATAATTGTCTTGTACCATCAGTGCAAATGTCAATACAGTGAAAAAGGGAAATGATGCCTTAATGCTATTAGGAAAATTGTTAAACTCTTGTTCTGGGTGAAATTATATTTGGAAAAACCACTCACCAGTAATTTCCGTGCTTTCTATTTCTTTTTCAGAGAATTAAGTATTGAGAATTGGATTATGCCTGCAGTTTATGCTGGCCATTTTTCTCATGTTCTGTGGCTTCATCCCCCATGGGCTCAGCAAATCAGAGAGGGCAAACATCACTTTTTAGTAGGCAGAGACACTTCTACTACAACAATCAGGTAATCTCATATTTATGAGTATGAAAGGGGATGTAAAGGAGTGAATGCTGCTTTTGTCTTATTTTGAATCCCCATAATAACTCATGAGTTGCCTACATACAGATGGGCTCAGATTAAGCAAACACCAGGAACAGGTTTTCATGTCTCTTGACCTTCACACACCATTTATATTTTGTTACTGGTCAGGTTGGTTGAGAATAGTATCTTCATCCTCTGGAATTCTGGCTGTGTTGATGACTAATTCCATTAAATTATTGAAGTATCTTATAGATTTACATTTCTAATGATACATTTCACTGCTTCCTTACAATATAATTATTGTCTGCTGAATCTAACAATTGCAGTTAAAAAAGCAAAATTATCTCATTTTGAATTTTTTTTTTGAAATTGAATGACTAAAAAGTAGATTTGGGGTTTTAATTTTAATAATATGATTAGCTTTCGATAATGAATCTAAATTAAGTTAAAGCTGACTTAAGTCGCATGTGCAACTTTTTGTTACGTAAGCTGTTTAACCAATGTTTTAGGAATATTGCAGTACTGCAAACATCTTTAGAAATATTATCATATCCTTGACTTTCTATAGTCTCTTATGATGGAATGAATGTTGTAAGCAGTGATGGCATAACTTTCTCAAAGGGAAAGGAGAGTGGAATAAAAGGGTAGTAATACATTGAAAATGAAATACACAGTCTCTCTCATTGAAAGTGATACTTTTTAGTTTTGATTTATCCTTAATGATATAGTTAACCTTTGTTGTATGTTCTTATTAATTACACAAATAACTTTCTATATACATAAAAATTGTACTTGGGATAAAATAGTAAATAGGACTCCACATAGAATAAATACATATAATACTGATATATGTGAAAGAATGGTAGTGCGTATATTGAGTACTTCAGTTAGTAGACCTCATTTGACCTGTAACAGGTTTTTGCAAAATCAAATAATTTTAAGTTTCAAACAGACATTTGAAACTCAATGTATAACAACAATATTAGGAGGATTTTGATTATCTGATGATTTTACTGAATTCGGTAAGTAAAAGTTTATAGAAGAGACACATACAGGTATGCAGTCTGAGATGCATGTGTTCATACAGATATGAACAAAGTGAAGCATCCTTTATTAAGGAAGAATACGAATTTAGGTTTGGGGGGATATAGCCTTTGTTTTTCTAGGACAGCAAAATTTATAACAAGCCTGGATATCAGCTGTATTATGTCGTTAATCTTATTTTGGAAAATTAATACCTTTTTAAATTTGAGACTATATAGCTGGAGGAAGGTGAGTATGAAACAAATATTTTCTTATTTTTTTTATTTTTCAGTATGAAATAAATATTAACCATTGTTTTAGTTGAATAGAGCCTGGCTCTGAAAGAAGCATTTATTTTTGCTTTTCCAAGTACTTCCTAAGGTATAGTATAGTTAAAAAGCTAAGAATATACTGATATGTCTAAAATCAGAAATCTGTAACTTATAAAACGCATTCTGCATTGTATAAGATTTTTTTAAAGTTGTTTTCCACGTTAAAATATTATGCTTATATAAAGTTTGCCAAAACTTTGAAACACATCTGAAGGAGCGTTTGTTAAGAGAAATTCTTTCCAGATGTAATTTTTCCGTTAGTGATTATTTCTACGAAGTTGCAGCAGGTATGAGAAAGATCCAAGACACCAGCTTAAAGATTTGGTTTTTTCTCATATTAGAGTTTATTGCACTGTATAGTCCAGGGCCTATCTGGCAGTTTACAGGTTTGGAAACCCCAGTTCCTTTTACCTTTTTGCTTCATCTTTAGAGTATTGCCTTTGTCCTCATAGTCCAAGGTGGGCTTGCCATTTCCACATTCATGTGCCAGTCAGCAGGTAGAGGAGAGTGCTGTTATGAACCCTTCTCTTCACTTCACAGCCGTAGTCCAGAACTTAGTCAAATGGCCACCCCTAGCTGCAGTATAGGCTACGAAGTATAGCCTTTATGTACTTCAGGCAGTTATGTGCCCACCTAAAAACTGGGGGAATACTATTTCTGCAGAGGAACAAGACTTAACAAAAGTAGAGAAAGCTCTCCGTTTTTGTTAAATATATTGTTACATTTCTGCACTGCTTTGGAAATGCTATTTGAAATGTCAACTAATTTGTCCATTTGTCTTTAAAATAGTTTTTTCCTCTAATCCAGGGTTACAAGTACAGATCATTACTTTCTAAGTGATGGTCTTTATGTAACTGAAGACCAGCTGGAGAACCAAAAACCTTTACAATTGGATGTAATTATGGTAAAACCTTATAAACTCTGTAACAGTCATGAAGAAAATGATGCAGTGTCTTCTGCTAAGAAGCCAAAGCTAGCACTGGAAGATGCAGAAAACACTGCCTCTGGTAACTGTGACTCCTATTCAGAAGGACTGGAAAAGGACACAGTGACACAGAGGAGGGGCCAGACTTGCCTAGAGCAATCATGTTCATGTTTTTCTGAAAGCCAAGAATGCCAGACTACAATCAGCACTGGGGAAATTCTGGAAATTCTGAAGAAAGGGGATGCATTTGTTTTAGATATTGACTTGGATTTTTTTTCAGTCAAGAATCCCTTCAAAGAAATGTTCACTCAGGTAAATGTGGCATTTTTAAAATGTAGATCTTAAGACTTGTATGACATTTCTCTAGATCAAGGATCAGCAAACTTTCTGCAAACAGCCAGATTTTAATTACTTTATTGGAGGTCCCATATGATCTCTTTGACACGTTCTTTGTTGTTAAACCTTTTTAAATATGCAGCTATTTTTTAATTGAATTGTGTATATACCTTTCTTAACTTGAGGGCCATACGAAAAACAGGTTATAGGTTGTGGGTTGCTGATCCCTGCTCTAGATAGTATTTATTATTTTGTATTTGTTAATTGGGGTAATAACTACATGGGTAGTTAAAAAAAAAAAAAACTAAAATCATGTAGTACAAGTAAGTTTATACATTGAAGATGTCACTCTCTCACCCCATCCCCATTCCCTCAGTTTCTTACCTCAGAAACCAACATCATGGCCAGTTTCTTGGTGTATCTTTCCAGAGATATTATATGTATATAAGGAGCTGTGTGACAAATTTTCCACTGGACAATGAGGTGAAGTGCCTGTTATATATGTACTCTTGGAGCTAATAATTCAGGCCTGTTCATCAGATCTTAAATGCAGAAAGCCAAACAATATTAGCATGCACAGATCTGAGAAGCAACATTTGAGAAACTCCCAAGTGAGCATGCCTGGGTACATTTTATGGCACAGTAACTGCTTACTTTAACATTTGGGAGGTTGTTCAAATCTAATCTTTTTGAGATTAAAATTAACTATTTTTTCTACCTAAATTCAGTCTTTGATTTTAATGATCTTGTACTTTACAATCCTAATTTGCATATGTATTGGAAGCTTTTGTGATTTATCAAAGACCTCTAAATAAGTATTGATTAAAAAATAGGTAAGATTTGAGAATTTAGTGTAATCTGAAACAAGAGTGGGGGAACTAGAGTATTCTCCAACTTGCAAATAAGGGAGAAAAATTGCTGTTTCTTCCTGCTCTTGTACACGAGCCAGTGGTTATAAACCATAAGTTTTTTTTTTTTAATTTATTTATTTATGATAGTCACAGAAAGAGAGAGAGAGAGGCAGAGACACAGGCAGAGGGAGAAGCAGGCTCCATGCACCGGGAGCCCGACGTGGGATTCGATCCCGGGTCTCCAGGATCGCGCCCCGGGCCAAAGGCAGGCGCCAAACCGCTGCGCCACCCAGGGATCCCAAACCATAAGTTTTTAGAATCATGAAATGACCTTAGAACTATTTAGAAAACTTGAGGAACAGGCATATCTGGAAGGTATTAGGAATGTATCTTACAAATATACTCATCAAATATTTTTAATGAAAATTTCTACAAAGTCATATAAGGAACTTAATTTCAGTCACTCCTTTTTCAGTGCTGTCAGGAGACCTGAGAAGTGGAGATTTTTGTATCCTTTGTGCCCTTTGGTACTATGGAACTTTTGGAAAAGAGCATGTATTATATTTTATAATTTAATAGCCTTTTTTTAATACAGTAAAGAAAGTCAGTTATAGGGACACCTGGGTGCCTCAGTGGTTGAGCATCTACCTTCAGCTCCGGGCATGATCCTGGAGTTCTGGGATTGAGTCCCACATCGGGCTCCCAATGGGGAGCCTCCTTCTCCCTCTGCCTATGTCCCTGCCTCTCTCTCTCTCTCTCTCTGTGTGTGTGTGTGTGTGTGTGTGTTTCTCATGAATAAATAAAATATTAAAAAAAAAAAGTTGTTTACCTTTTTTAAAGAGCATGGCCTGAAGTCCAGAATGAGTTTAGTTCTGTTATTTCTACTGCTTATTTGCTGTATGATCTTGGGAAAGTTACTTTACCTTTCTGACCCACGGTTTCCTCAAGTATAAAATCAAAATAATCACAAAATTCACAGAATTAGTATGATGAGGATAGTGGCACATTGTGCTTAGTGAACTTCAGCTCTTGCATGTATACTCTTCCCAACAACACTCCTAAATGGGATTACTGGGGCCAGATACACCCACCTATAACGGAGCTATTTAGCGTGCTAAATGGGGAGAGGCATCCTCTTGCAAAGTCTTCGCTTAACAGCCATCCTTCTGTTATATCTGCTTCCAGTATTACCTTTGAACTTCCAATTTCTCTTCTGCAGGCTTGGAAAGGACTGCAAAGTGAATATGGAGTTTTGATTGTTATTAAAGACATGTTTATTTCCTATACATAGCTAAAATCTGTTGAGATCCTAGGATGTATCCATTTATAGAGTAGAATATTATTAGAAATCTTCTTTCAAGTCAAGTCTTTTTCCATAGCTAATTTTCATGCATTTTTGTCAGGAGAGTTACCCTAAAGAAATGACATTGTTTACAATGACGTCTGAGTTATACATTTTTCTTGACTTTCACAGGCTAATCTTTAAATGATTGTCTAAGATATTCTCCTTATATCATAGCCATTTGTTACTTTTAAAGCATATCATTGAAAAACAATTAGGGGGGGTCCCTGGGTGGCTCAGGGGTTTGGCCCCTGCCTTCGGCCTAGGACGTGATCCTGGAGTCCCAAGATGGAGTCCCACATCGGGCTCCTTGCCTGGAGCCTGCTTCTCCCTCTGCCTGTGTCTCTGCTTCTCTCTCTCTCTCTCTCTCTCTCTCTCCCTCTCTCTCTCTCTGTCTCTCATAAATAAATAAATAAATAATAAATAAATAAAATCTTAAAAAAAAAAACCAACCATAACAACAATTGGGGTTTTTTTTCTAGTATATGGATTTTTGTTTTGTTTTCCAGGAAGAGTACAAAATCTTACAAGAGTTGTACCAGTTTAAAAAGCCTGGTACCAACCTGACAGAGGTATCCTTCATTTGTTTCTTTTGGGTTTTGTCTATTTATCACATATCTAATAATATAGCTCGTTAGAGTGCTCTCACATCTAACCTAAATCTTTGTGTGTTTATTGGGGAAGCCCATGCTTAGTACTTACAAGTCCTGGTTTTAACTAATTGAACTGGTATTTTAATTCCAATGGGATTTCACTTATTTTTTTCAAAGACTAAATACTATATTCTTGGCTTTTCAATATGTTTAAAGGAAGATTTGGTAGATTGTGTTGATACTCGAATTCATCAGTTAGAAGATTTAGAAGCTGCTTTTGCTGATTTGTGTGATGGTGACAATGAAGAAACTGTACAGAAATGGGCTTCAAACCCTGGGTAAGACCTTGAAACATATTTTTCCCCAACTCTTTCCTACTCATAGATATATTGTTTAATTTGCTAGATAAATTACATTTTAAAAATTAGTATTAAGTGCCAACACAAATTTACTAACAATAGTTAGCCTTTCCTGAGTGTTTTCTTTATGCCCAATTCTAAGATTTTTTCCTTGCATTTCTCTCACTTATCCCCCACAACAATTTGATGGCTTCGTTGTTGTTATGTTCATTTTATACATGAGGAAACTAAGGCCCAGAGGTTTAAGTTGCTCAAAATCACATAGTCACATAGTGACTGCCTGTTTTATATATAAGATGTGGTGCTAGGTCTTAAGGAAGATTAGAGATTGGTAAGACAGCCCCTATTGTAAGAATAAGAAAAAAAAAATAACCTATCAATAAAAAAGCAAATGACTAGACAAGGAAATTCTAATGTGAAAACTTGCCTCCTTTTAAGGATAGCCTGACTATGAGTAGAAGCTCAAGGTGGCCATGACATGAGAGAATTGGATTTGATAGCTGGATCTTTCATCAGGTCTTCTGTTTGGCCAATTGTCCAGCATTAAGATTACTTTGAAAACATGGAGAAAAAAGTTCTTTTGGCATAGCATCTGTCAAGTTATAGGGTGGGGTAAAGAGTGCCTTTGGTATTAAAGCAAGTTTGGAAGAGTATTGAGATAAATAGTACAGTTACTTTTCCCTGAACTAAATCTATTTTTTTTTCCTAGTGCAGTGTAGTTGACATACTATATTACATTAATCTCAGGTATATAAAATAATGAATTGATAATTCTTTATATTATACAGATATAATATAAGCATAGTTACCATCTGTCACTATATAATGTTATTACGATACCATTGGCTACATTCCCTATGCTTTAGTTTTTATCTGTGTGACTTATTTATTCTAGGATTGGCAGTTGGGACCTCTTAATCCCCTTCACCCATTTCACCCATCTCCCTACCCCCTCTGGTAGTCACCAGTTCTTTGTATTTATGAATCTGTTTCTGTTTTTGTTTGTTCATCTGTTCTGCTTCCATATACATCCATATACAGATCATGTGGTATTTATCTGACTTAACTTCGTTTAGCGTGATAATCTGTAGGTCCATCCATGTTGTCAATGAATGTCAAGATTTCATTCTTTTTTATAGCTGGGTAATATTCCATTGTCTGTATATGCTACATCTTCTTTATCCATTCATCAGTCAGTAGACACTTGGGTTGCTTCCATATCTTGACTATTGTAAATAATGTAGTAAAGATAGGAATGCATAGATCTTTTTGAATTAGTGGTTTTTTTTCCCCATTGGGTAAATACCTAGCAGTGAAATTACTGGATTGTATATTTCTATTTTTTAATTTTTTGAGGAACTTGCATACTATTTTCCCAGTGGCTGCACCAATTTACATACTTATCAATGGAACACAAAGTCTCCCTTTTTCTACATCCTCATCAACATTTGTTACTTCCTATTCTTTGATTCCAGCTATTCTGACTGGTTTGAGGTCATTTCTCACTGTGATTATGGTTTGCATTTCCCTGGAGATTAGTGATGTTAGGTCTCTGAAATAATTCTTTAAATCAGAGTTAGAATCATAGTATTTTGAGCCATTAAGACTTGTTATGTCATAGTTATTTAAAATAATTCATCAGATAACTAGAAGAATGCAGAAGAAACAAATAGAGGTCTCTGGTGAGAGGAATTCTATGACTAAAAGATGAAGTTAGGAAAAAGAAACATCATTTACTATGTGTATATTACCTCTTCAAAATATTCAGTGTAATTTTTGTTTAAAAACAAAATAATGAGAAACATCTCTGAAATATAAATATAAAACTTTATTATCACTAAGGAAAACTGTGCTATTATATTGATCACATCAGTCAATATTGACCGAGCATTTGAACATCAGTTCACACTTTTCCTCTTCAGTATAGGGAACTAGTTCAAGAAATGATTCCTTCCTTTTTGAAATTATGATGGAAGAGGAAGATATAGGAATAATTCACAAGATTCTTTCTGGAAATACTGAAAAGTACCTATTATTTTGTGATTTTTGATGTCTCAAGCCAAGTTTAAAACTTAAAATAGCATGAAAACTTTGGAGTCCTGAATCTAGCCCATAGATGGAGCCACCTTTCACTGATATCCACTGTGCCTGATGAGCATGCCCAGTTAACTCTTCATCACCTGCAGAGAGTTCTATCTCAGACTTGAAGAAACACTGAGGCTACAACAGAAGCAAGTTCACACTATGACTGGAATTGGGGGAATAAAAGAATAGCACAGAGGAAAAGTGGGTGAGACAAGCAAGAAAGGTCTCCCCAAACTTACCATGCCCCTGAAGGGCCAGATCCTCAGCATGAAGGAGTCTTCACTATTAAAAAGCAGAGGAGGTAGGTGATTAGGGTCCAGAAGCCCAGAGAGTGTTCCTAATAAAAAGAAGTAACAGGTTGAGTGGACAAATAGGCCTCCATGCCTCCCTTTTTCTTTCTTTTTCCCCATCCCACCAGATGAGTAGTTATTGGTAGGGGAGGCAAAATACTAGACACATTAATTAATCATGGCTCCCAAAGTGTTCCCCCTAAATTAAATCACTTAAAGGCACTATTGTTAGTATACCACATGTATAGAACTTTGCCATTTGTAATTGTGTATGTCAGTGCTCTTAAATTTTTTGAAAACTATCTTTTTCATCACCGTGTGCTAAAAAACTTAGTTTTCTTGCTGTTCAAAATAATCTTTAAAGTCACATTTTTAAATAAGAGGAAAATCTCAATTTTTGATACTAATTTTCAGCCTTTAACACAATCTGTAATCTTGGAGGTAAGAAAAAACAGGGAACATTTATTTCTTAATATTTTAAGATATTTGAATATCTTTATCTTTCATTTCTCAAGCGTCATGAAATATTGTTAAAGGTAATTTTAAGTGTAATATATCATTTGCTTCTGTAATTTTAGTTGAGGCAGTGTGATATTTAATTAAAGGGTGACTTTTTTCCAGAATGGAATCACTAATTCCACTTGTACAGAGTTTGAAAAAACGGATGGAAGTACCAGACTATGAAATGGTAAATACTTTATATTGAAGTATAAAATTTATCCTTTAGGAAAGCATTTTTCTGGGTAGAAAAAGTACTTTTTGTTAAAGTGGTTTTCTTTTATTTGTGTTCCAGGAAAGTGTAAATGAATTATTTTTTATAAATGAGAAGAAATGAAAAAAATATATAACTTTTTAGAAGTCAGAATACTGGAAAGGTTTTCCAGAAAAAAAATTAACTTTTTAGGGCAGCCAGGTGGCTTAGCGGTTTAGCACCTGCCTTCAGCCCAGGGTATCATCCTGGGGACCCAGGATTGAGTCCCACATCGGGCTCCCTGCATGGAGCCTGCTTCTCCCTCTGCCTGTGTCTCTGCCCCTCCGTCTGTCTCTCACGAATAAATAAATAAAATCTTAAAAAAAAAAAATAAACTTTTCCCAATTTTATGTATAAAGGAAAAGTGCTGAGTATTTTTTTATTTTATTTATGGTCAGATCTCTACTTGCCAGAGAGAAGAAAGTATACAGTTTTTAAAGTTTGTTAATTCATTTTCATACTCCCTTCCTTTTTTTCTTTCCTCTCTCTGAAAACTTTTCTGATTGTAAAAACCAGGAGAAAGACAAAAGAAGGTGCTCTGGCAAGTGCAGCTCAGCTACATCAGCTGTATCGCTGACTTTGTTTGCCAACAGTGATCCGAAAGCTGTGGTAAAAGTGGATAACTTCAAAGATAATTTCTTTTATTTGTATCATTTTGCAGTCTTTGAAGTATAAATTTTCTCATTTGAAGTTCAAATGCCTTTTCTCAGATTTTGTGCCAAAACTGAGACCTGCAAGTCATCTTCTTTTACTCCTGGTGCCTTTTTGACTTCAATAAACTGTGTTTTTGCTCTAGTGTTTTCTTTAGTTGCAGAATACAATCAAACCACCTTCTTTGAACTGAAGTTTATATACTGATTTAGTGCCAACTTTTTAAGAATAAAAAATACTAGCAAAAGAATATTTTGGTTAAATTGAACCTAATCCAAAACCCACTTTTTTTTTTAATGGCAATTTTTAAGAATGATAAAGTTAGAAGATACTTAGGGTTTAAAAATGCTTTGAGCTTGGGATGCCTGGGTGGCTCAGCGGTTTAGCCTGGGCCACCTTTGGCCCAGCCTTCGGCCCAGGACATGATCCTGGAGTCCCAGGATCGAGTCCCACATCGGGCTCCCTGCGTGGAGCCTGCTTCTCCCTCTGCCTGTGTCTCTGCCTCTCTCTCTCTCTCTTTCTCTCTCTTTCATGATTGAATAAATAAAAATAAAATTAAAAAAAAATACATCAGGCCCAAACAGATGTACAGGCTTGTTCTTCCAGAACTTTAGAGAACAGGTAAGATTTATCAGCAAGGACATTAATGGTTAAAGAATCTTCTAAAAACAACAAAGCCTTACAGTGTAATTTTTAATTTTTTTATTTTCAGGTTCACCAGGCTGGTCTAACCTGCGATTACTCAGAACTTCCTCACCATATCAGCACAGAACAAGAAATTGAGTATTTTATTCAGTCTGTATATTATTTACTGAAAAATTTACCAAAACCTACTCTTGTGACAATTGCAAGGTAAGTGTGGTAGCCTGAATAATGGCCCACTAAAGATATTCACATCCTAATCTCCAGAACCTGTATATATGTTATCTTGTACTGGAAAAGAGACTTTGCACATGTAATTAACTTAAGGATCTTGAAATGAGGAGATCACCCTAGATTATCCAGTGGGCCAGTGTGATGACAGTGGTCCTTAAGCAAGGAGGACAAGAGGGTCAGAATCAGAGAAATGAAAAGATGCTATCTGCTAGCTTTGAAGATGGAGGATTAGAGCCACAAACTAAGGAATGCAGGCAGCCTCTAGAAGCTGGAAAGACGGGGAAACAGATGCTGCCCTAGAACCTAGAGAAGAATGTGGCCCTGATAGCATCTTCATTTTAGGACTTCTGGTCTCCAACAAAACTATAATGTTTTGTTCCTTTAAGCCACTAAATTTGTGGTAATTTGTCACAGCAACCATAGGAAATTATTAATACAGTCTCCATAGATGAATCTAATGATGACAACTAATACAGTAATTCTAACCAGTTTTTTACCTATTCAACTAAAAATTCAGATTTGTATTTTCTCTTTCCTCTTAGTAATGGTTGGCAAACAACATATAGTTCTTGTTATCTTGTCTTTAAAGTTGGTGATACTATTCAGATTAACACAAGAATTCCCATTTGTGTGTCTACAAATGAATATTTACTTGATGCCATATTTCAGATTTGAAAATAATATGCTGCATAGTTACAACAATTTAATGAAACTTTTCTGTATTAATCTTTGGGCTGGTTTTATATGGAACTGTGAGGTTAACACTTTAATGTATTTTATGACAAATATTTTATAGTGCCCTTTTACCATCTGAAATGAAATTCATAGGTAACGTAACCCACATACATACACACTTTAAGTATATGGAAATATTATACGTAATATATATAGATAATATAATTGTCTTAGTCCAGTTAGGCTGCAATAACAGAATGCCATAGACCATGTGGCTTATAAACAGCAGAAATTCCTTTCTCACAGTCCTGGAGGCTGGGTAGTCCAAGATAAAGTCACTCAGATTCAATGTGGTGAAGACCTCCTTCCTGGTTCACAGACAGCCATCTTCTCCCTATAACCTCACATAATGGCTGGGGTAAAGGAGCTCTCTGGGGACTCGTTTATAATAGCACTAATCTCACTCATGAGAAACAACCCTCATGACTTAATCACCTCTGAAAGGCTTCACCTCCAAATATCACATTGGGGATTAGGTTCAATGAATGAATTCTGGAGGGACATATTTAGTCTATAGCAATAACCTACCTGTACACATAATTTAAATATATGTTTATATATGTGTATATACACACACAAATCATCGTAACATAAAAGAAATGAAAGTAACTGATAAACTGATATGCACTAAAATGCCACACAAAAGGTGCCTGGGTGGCTCAGCCAGTCAAGCATCTGCCTTTGGCCCAGGTTAATCTTGGGGTCCTTGTATCGAGTCCCATGTCAGGCTCCCTACCCAGCAGGGAATCTGCTTCTCCCTCTCCCTTTGCCCCTTCCCCTCACTCATGTACTCACATGTGTGCACGCCCTCTCTCTCTCAAATAATAAAATCTTTAAAAAAAAAAATTGTTTTAAGCCACAGAAAACTAGCATCTTTACAAAGAGTCTCTAAATAGAACAAAATAGAACAGTTATATGTGCAGACAATTACTCATGTGATGTATTGGACAGATACTATGAACACAGCACTGCCATAGTGACACGGTTTTTCTAGTCATAACCTCTTGGTAAAGTTCTGAACTTAAAGTTCAGTCTTCCCTAAATATACAGAGTAGTTGCATTTCTGGGAAGTTTGTTCATATTTAATCCATTTTCAAAAATACTTTGTTCATATGTAGAAGAGTATTAAATTCTAGCCTTAAAAAATTAAAAACAGGTTTTTTCACTTACGTGAGTGTTCTGTGGACTTTGGAAAATATATATGACAGAAGACAAGTACTTTTATTTACATTCAGATTGCAGGACTGTCCTATACATTGCAAGAATTCTAGCAGCCTTGCCCTGTTGCCTTGGCCCTTTAATTGTTACTGTGACAATCAAAAATGTACCTACAGATTTCCAATACTCCCTCTTGGGGGTAGCTCCCAAGAACTACTCTAACAGTGTTTAAAAGAAGCCAGATATCTTTTTGAAAGCATTGAAGTACTCCTTATTTGTTAAGGCTTATAAATTAAACTTTTATATATGATAACTTTCTCAAAGTAGGTCTTTATCTGCATGTATATATGGGTATATATATCCCTTCTTTTCTCCTTAATACCACTTGGGAAACTAATCCCAATACCAGCACATCTCCACATTTCATTTTGGATAATTCTATATACCTGTATAGTTGACAAGTAGTTTTTAGAAGCAGAAACCTTTTATCAGGAATGCTCAGCGGTCGAGTGTCTATGTTTGGTTCAGGGCATGATCCCGGAGTTCTGGGATCGAGTCCCGCATTGGGCTTCCTGCATGAAGCCTGCTTCTCTCCCTGCCTATGTCTCTGCCTCTCTCTCTGTGTCTTTCATGAATAAATAAATAAAATCTTAAAAAATAATAAAAAAAAGAAACCGTTTATCAGTTGGAAAGCCTCTACTCTTAATAATTTCTAGCCCTTCTGTTCCCATAAAAGAATGAGAAAGACGCCCAATCACTAAGATAATAACCTCCCAGTATTTGCAGTATCTCCCTTTGAGGGAAACAGCCGCAATTAAGCACTGAGGCCTTGAAGACATGATGTGTCATTTTGAATCCCGTCACCAGCACTTACAACTAGGTGACCTATGCAGGTTAATTTTCTGTTTCAGATTCTTTTAAAGGAATAGTAAATGTATGTATTTCATAGAGTTGCTGAGAAGATTTAAAGAACATAATGTAATGCTCCTGACCTACATTAAACTTTTAGTAGCTTTTAACTGTTACTATTCCAAAATTCAACATACCTTCATTTCTATTTTATACTGAAATCAACACATGCAGACTTTTCCTCACAACATGGTATGATCTCATCTTATTTACATTTTTTTTTCTTTCTCCTCTTGGTTCCAGGTCAAGTCTGGACGATTACTGTCCTTCTGAGCAAGTTGACACCATTCAAGAGAAAGTCCTCAATGTGCTACGCTCCCTCTATGGAGCTGTAGACATTAACTTGGTGTATTTAGCAGAATGTTCTCCACCTTGAAACACCAAAACACCAGGCTCCTATTACATCTAATTGTAATAACAGGGTTTTCATTAATTTATTTGTAAATGAGTCTTCCAGAGAAGACTTGGTTTTTATATTAACTTTAAGTTAAAATCGTTTCAGTATTTTGAATCTCAAGACAGGTATCATCAGTTGTTGAATGATGACAATTTTTTTAACATCAAGTCTACCCCCACCATTTGTTGCTTATTTTTCTTCCTTTCCACCATTGTCTTCTTCATTTTGTAAGGGTTGGTATTTTTCCACTTTCCCTCTAGGCTAATTGGACTGTACAACATTCATTCATTCATTTATTCACTCAACCACCTGACATTTATTGAGCACTTACAAGTGCCAAACATGATTAAGTGCTGGGTGTATGGTAATGAACAGAATAGACAAGGTCTCCTGCCCTCTTAGAGGACAGCTGAGAAACAAATTCTGGATTATGAGAAGTATTATGAAGGAAAGGACAACCACAAACATATTTTAGGCTTTAGTACTCAGGGTATCTAGGCTGTATAAGAAAGTAACATTCTCAAAAGCTACTACCAAAAATAAATAAATAAATAAATAGATAAACAAACTTGCAATCCACAAAAATATTGCAGAAAATCTACCTTTCCAAGACTGCCAGGGTTGTAGCCCAGCTCTCACAGTTGGGATGGAAGAGTGAAGTCAACTAACAAAATTTTCTTTGCTAATCAGAAAAGTCCTTCAGGGTTTTCAGTGCCTCCGGATGATCATCAGTAGGGCATCGATTATAGTTCCTGAGTGCTACTTAATTGGCAGCCCAGGTTGATAATTTCGTCAAATAAGTTAGCTTTTAATACAAATAGAAAAAAGGATAAATTCTTAATTCTGACCTACCGTAAATACCCAAAGACTTAACTGCCTTCCATCGGCCTCTCCGTGCATAAGAGAGCCTGAGTCCCTCTTAATCAGGGAACTTTTCATTTGCTTAATTTATCAGTCTTCCCTCTTGAGTACTCCTCATGTTCAGCAATAATTTTTACCTACCTGATTTTTTTTTTAATAGGATGGTATTTAGAGGGGGAAAAACACCCATCCATTCCTCGGTCCTAGCACAGCAATTGTTTTCATTTTTGCATGTAATTTTTGGGCTTTGACCACATGTGTACATGTTGAGTTGCATGTAGCTACAATTGTAGTGGTTACATAACTTGATGTCTAACACCGAGTCACATTACCATTGCCACTCAGTAGATGGCACCAGATCCCATTTTTCCAAAAATGCTGTTTTCCAGCACATTTTTCTTGTCACCAAATTGATTTCCCAAGGCTGGTAGTGTGAATGCCTATTTCTGCTGTGAAAAACAAAGCAAAGTGATTCAGCTTTCCACTTTGATAGAACATTATGTGCCAAAAAGTTTTCTCTGTAAATTCAGAATTGCTAACAGTGCTGTTTATTTTTAAATTTCGAAAAAATGTTATTAGAGTTGTAAGTAGATGTTACTTTTATGAGTAAATTATTTTGTGTGCTAAAAGAAATAAAAAAGGTATGTTTTGAGGTTTTAAGGATTTAAAACCAAACTAGCACTAGTTAATTGTATATGATCTCAGTGTGTACATAGCACTGATCTTATGAATCTGCTTGAGTAGTCATTTATTTATGACGATTCCCATAACTCGATGTGACTCATCATTGTTTTAACTCAGGTAAAATAAAAGGGCATCAATTTATTTTTTTGTGATACTCATATTGTTTAGTTTTCCTGCTCTGTGATTCTCTTTGAATGAAATTCAGTCCCTATTTGTTGACTACCACCAACTTGATAAATTATGTCACTGTGCATTTCAAATAGGAAGATAGTTTATCAAGACATTCTTCATTCGTGTTCTAAGTACCAATGAGGACTACCACCATACAGGGATTTGGATTATGTGCAAATATCACTGAAGTATGGGATTTTGAGCAATTTTGTGTGTGTGTGTGTGTGTGTGTGACTTAAATGTAAGCATTGACCAAGAGCTTTGGTATTAACAAGTGTATATTTCCCAGTATCAAAGAAGAGAAGTCTTTTTTTTTCCCCTTCAGAAATAGTTTCTGTAGATCTCTGTCTTTGAGTGTTCTGGGTCCTCAAGGAGCTCTTAGTCAAGTTCTTCACTCTTTATATGATATTCTCTCCAAATCCTTCATCTGTTTTAGCAGTAGTGGCTTGGATTGCTGGCAATGGATACATCCTACTGCTAGTAGTTTGTAGTCAATGGTGTGTTTTTTAATACAGGATTGATTATCTCATTCACCATCCATCTTAAGAGAAAGCACTCGCGTAAAACTGAAGGAGTTTTTGTTGGGGATCTTTTTTTAAAAAAATATTTATTTATTTATGATAGTCACACACAGAGAGAGAGAGGCAGAGACACAGGCAGAGGGAGAAGCAGGCTCCATGCACTGGGAGCCCGACGTGGGATTCGATCCCAGGTCTCCAGGATCGCGCCCTGGGCCAAAGGCAGGCGCCAAACCGCTGCGCCACCCAGGGATCCCTGTTGGGGATCTTTCAGAACTGCTCGAGATACACGAGGGTCAGTTGTGTAACTATGTCCTTATTGGACTGTGCCTGGTCGTCCTGAGTCACAGCACTCTCTTGTAGCACTTGTTTCTAAGTTAACTGGTCCTGCACTGTCTGGTTTGTAGTTCTAGCTGTACTCCTGGGATTCCAAACATCAGTGCCATTCTCCCCTTTATTCTAATTTGGTTTCAACAAATGAAGTTACAGTCACTGAGAAGGTTTCTGTGGACCTGGATGCTTAGGGAGTTCCCTGAACAGTAAACATTCCGGTCACTCACTGGAAGGGTATGTCTTATCATTGGAAGTAGTAAGTCGGCATTCGATACATTACTATCTTATGAGTTTGGTTCCTATAATTCAGAAGCAGGAGCTCATCACCAAGGCTGAAGCAAGGCTGAGATTGTAGGATTTTACCTCCTTTGAGGACCTTGTCGAATAGTCAGCTGACCTCCAGCTACAGCTTCCCTACCATGTCTGTAACTTCAAAGTGCTCGTCAATGGCAGGTAGACCTCGAAGCCTATCCATCAGCACTGTTCAGGGGCCTTAGCACCGCAGTTGATGTGAAACGTGCCAAAATGAAGATGATAGTGTTACAACTGAATATAGTCGAGCATAGTGGTAGTAGTGTGAACTTACAAGAGCTACTCCCTGGCTCCAGTGTCCCTTCTCCACATTCTCGCCCTGTGCCCTCACAGCCTCAGCTTCCTTATCACAGTAAGAACTGAACTTGTTGGGGATCCCTGGGTGGCGCAGCGGTTTGGCGCCTGCCTTTGGCCCAGGGCGCGATCCTGGAGACCCGGGATCGAATCCCACGTCGGGCTCCCGGTGCATGGAGCCTGCTTCTCTCTCTGCCTGTGTCTCTGCCTCTCTCTCTTTCTCTGTGTGACTATCATAAATAAATAAAAATTTTTAAAAAGTCCATATTTAAAAAAAAAAGAACTGAACTTGTTGGGATATTCTGAGAAATAACACATATGAAACCCTTAATACAAGAACCATTTGGTAAACATTGGCCATTATTTCCAAACTCAGCTCTACTTTGAAAATCCAATGATGGCTATTCCAACACTCAACTGCTCTTCTAATGCCTCTCCTAAATCCTGACTTTTTTTTTTTTTTTATTCATGAGAGACACAGAGGGAGAGACACAGGCAGAGGGAGAAGCAGGTTCCCTGAGGGGAGCCTGGTGGGGGTCTCGATCCAGACCCGGGATCCCGCCCTGAGCTGAAGGCAGACGCTCAACCACTGAGCCACCCAGGCGCCCCATGATTTTTTTTTTTAACTCTGTTAGTTTCCACTGTATTTCCATGAATGATGGAATTTCCATGTTTTTTAGTCAAAGAAGGCCGATCCTTGCCCATAAAGAAAGAGGTAATGGCTTTGAGCAGAGTTACTCATAAAAGTTTTGTCTTGAAATTGGTTCAAACATTCATTTATTCACAATTTAAGAACTTGTACTCATTCAATCGGGGCCAGTGATGGCAGGGGTGTTGGGGGAGGAGTCAGGAAAGTCAAAGCCTGCCTAGGGTTTTTTCCTCTTTACACTTTACCTGCTGCCTGCTTGCAGATAAAGCTAGGATTTGTGATGCTAAACCTTTGATACAATCAGTGTTTGGAAGTTGCTACCCCCAACTTATAATTTACTTTCATGGACTCTAGAATTATCTTCAGCATTTTTGACGTTGCTGATTATAGATGACCTCAAGCAAAAAAAAGTCCCTCCTGTATCAGCCAGAGCCTGACAGGGAGGTGGGGGCAGAGTCAGTACCTCCAAATATTTCACTGTTATTTCCAGGCCCCTCACAAGCATTCTTCATCCAGGTCTCAGCCTTAATACACAGCTGCCTGCCTGGTGAACCTTAAGGAAAATGGGGTCATCAGAGACAGGGGTTGGGTGGGGGGAGTGCCTCTGTCAGCTTGGCCTGGTAAGGTTACGTAGCAGCCCATCAGACGTGGCCATGATGGCTCAAGGAGGGAGAGCCATCCTTGTCTCCCTTAAGTCAGGGTTGGAGCTAGCCTGGAAAGCCAGCTGTGGAGGCAGAAACCACCCTGGGAACTGGAGGGCAGCCCCATCCGCCGTCTGCAGCATTGCCCCATCAGGCGGCAGCATCCTTACACAGAAGGTACTGGTGGCTTTGAAATCTAAGTTCAAATACTCCCTTGCTGGCTCCTAATGATGTGAGCCCGGCAGTTTAACCTGTCACAGTCCCTGGTGTTCAACATGGTTGGAGATCCACCCTGTGTTCCTCAGGGACTCTACTGTGCTCCGGGACTGCACAGTAGTTAGCTGTTTACATTCACCCTCCCCAGTATACCATGAGTTCCTTGAGGTCGTGTCATACATCTTGTAGCCCCAGGCTCTGTCATAGTCCCTGTCATCATGTTTAATGAATTGAGTACAGAAAATACCAGTAGTCCTTAGAGGCCTGGCAGTAACAAGCCTTACTATGTGCCCTATACTGTACATCCTCTTGTGAGCATGCTATCTTTGAGAGCAAATCGAACAAACGGAAGCATTAATACAAGAACATTTACCAAGGATTAGGTGTGTTAAAAACAAGAGTCCAAAAGAGCTAAAAGATAATACATATAATCTAATGATTATATCCCTAGAATAACTGTGTTATAAATGAAAGGCAATAGTTTACCAGTTATTTTGCAATCTTAGGGATAAAAACCTGGTAAGAACCACGTTCCACAATGCTTATGTTAAAATTTGAATTTTGGCCTAAAATTAAAATCTTACATTTGACACGACCATACAAAAACTGGGTATGAACTTTTGGTCCCTAAAAAGAACATTGCTCTTGGATTATAGCTTTGCTGAGTGTTTGCAGAGTAACACTGTTCCTCACTTCCGATTTTCCTTCCATATGGAGGCACCTTCCATTAGAGTCCTGACCTTGCTGTGCCCTTTTACTCCTCTCCAGAGCAAGGAAGAGTGAAAGAAGGGAATTTTAAAATGCCCTCCTCTGGAAGTATATGAACATTCTGCTTTGTCCTTCCATGCCATGGTTTGTAAGAACAGGCCCTGTGGGAGAGCTTACAGTGGTGCAGTGACGGCAAAGCCTGTCTGGGGTGCAGCATCGGGAAGCCCGTTGTTGCCATAGGTTTAAGCCGTGTTCTTTAACATCAGTTTTATCAGAAATGATGGTGACACTTTTATCTTCATCTGCCTGAATGCCTACTTCTAAGTTGTTTAGAAACATAGTGGAGAACAGTTAGGTCTACTGGGCTTCCACAAACCCCAACATGAAATGTTTGTTTGTTAAATAGTATGGAAGGTTTATAAATGTGGTTGCTCTTTGGAATCCCAACCAAAAAGGAGGACATTCTCTGACCATTCTGAATAAACCCACCATAACATACCTTCTGTTTATACAGTCTTTTTCTACCATGGAGTATAGACATCTAAAACCTTTTTTTTTTTTTTTAAGATTTATTTTACTTTTAAGTGCTTTTCTTGGATGTCAGACTGGTGTTTTATTTTTATTTGACATCATGCTAAATGGGCAACACAGAATCTACTATGCTTTCTATATAAGCAACAACCAATTATAACAGAAGACAAGATCTTACAATAGCACAATTTCACTCAAAAAATACATATGAATAAACTAAAGGAAACATTAACACTTATACAAAAAAAGCTTTATGAAGGTGTTGAAGAATGTAAATGAAGACATGAATATCTATGGAAAGATATGTGTTTATATGAGAAGATTCAGAGTTATAAAGATGTCAGTGTTTCCCATATCCAACCACATATAATGCAATTTCAATAAACATGAAGGAAATATTATTTCAGGTAATGAGGCTAATTCTAAAGTTCCTATGGAAAAGTGATCGTGCAAGGAAAACGAGAAAAAAACATAAAAGTTAATAAAGGGATGAGTCCTACTATGTAGCAAAATACATTATAAATTATATTAATTAAAACTAATACTAGCACATGAGCAGTTGGATAGTTGAGTAGAACAGAATAGAGTCCACAAATAGTCTATATTAGTTAAAATAAAGATATCTAGTTTAAGGAAAAGGAAAAACAAAATGGCTCATACAAAACATTTTTTCTCATTTGGATAAAATCCAAAACAGGTGTTTCTGCTTGGCAGGCTCTCCTGCAAGCAAGGATTCTGGGATCGTGCTCCTTGCATCTGTAGCTCTGC